ACTATATATATATATATATATAGAGGCATCAATAGTTTAAAAAGTACATAAGGTTATTCTATTTTAATTGATTTAAATAGATTAAGATAGAAAAGGAAACTAATTCCTACTTTTTTATTAGTTAAAGGGATTTTAAAATAAAGAAAAATATTCTTTGACAAATTATATCTTTATTAGGAAAAGAATGTGTTTTTTAAAGTAACAATATGTTAATTAGGAAAAAAGACATTTTTGACCCAATTAAGTTACAATAGAGATATTTTTTAACCAAATTGTTAAAGGAGGACAGTTTTACTTAATTTCACATAGTTTAAGGGCAACTTTGACCAACAATAACATACTCATTGTAATCTCACAAAGTGGGGTCTGAGGAGGGTAGAGTGTACGGCTGTACGCAGACCAGACCTCTACCTCAGAGGTGAAGTAGAGAGATTGTTTCCAATAGACCCTCGTCTCAAGAAAAGAATAATCTAGAAAAAAGACGTGATGGAAGTACAAGAGGCAATAGATAGTAACAAAAACAATAGATAGTAGCAGAACAATGCTACAACAAAATATTCCTATTATTGAACTACATGAAACCATAGATAGCAATAGAAACCGAAGAACAAGAAATCATATATAGCATTTTTGACCATTTTCCATTTTTTAATATAATGATTACTTAATTTTTTTTCTTTTTGTGTCAACTATATATAGGTATATACTTTTTATTTGACATTTTCACTTTTACTTGTAAAGAAAATCCAATTTTGTAAGACTTGTGATGTGTTTGGTATGATGGAAAATGTTTTCCTCAAATAGTACTTTCTAGAAAGCACTCTCGGTGCTTCTTTTCCGGTGTTTGATTGGTGAATAAAATATATATGTCAAAAAGTATTTCCTAGTAATTTAAGTCTCTTTTTATTGTTTAATCTAGTAAATTTACATAAAGTCCCCCCTTACCTCAGACAAATTTTTTTTTTGAAGCAAACACCTAAAGTTGGCGAGGGTCCTATTACCCCCACAGAATCATTTAAATTCACAATAAATAGACCCTTTTGATACATTTCCTCAACTGCCGTGTTGTCACGAAACATGGGCACATGAAGGAGTATATATACTGCCCCAAACCAATGTAAAAATGCCACAGGACACTCTCAATTTGAACTATATGTTTTTGAACTTTATTTCTTTTTCTTTTTCAACTTTCTCTCTCTCCTCTTTTATTCTTCTTCCCCAATTTCATACCCTTAATTTGCTCCACGTCGGAGGCTCCTTCCCTCTTGCTCTCCACCACCGATCAATCTCCAATGAAGCCATCACTATTTTATTTTATTTAACTGTAACCCTAACCATACCCAAAATCAAATTATCATCAGATTCAAATTTGAAAATCAAAATCACTATACTAATGATGGGATTGAAACTCCATTGAAATGGAGATTTATAGATCTTCTTATCCAAAAAGGATAGATAGTAACTCCAAGAAAAATAGAAAAAGGATAATCACCATCAGAAATAGAATCAGGGAGAAAAGAGTTTAAAAAATAGGGAGAAAGAAAATAAGAAGCAAAAAAAAGAACCAGCACCCAACGTTGTGGTCTAGTGGTCAATGAAGTGGTTGAGAACCTCTTATGGTAGTACCGAAGCAAAAAAATTCTTTCAGCTATCTTCTAATTTACATATTTCTGAAGATCTGAAAGATTCATGTATGTATAGATGATTGGGTGGCTTTGTTGATAACCACTTTTTTATGTAGGTTCTCTACTTTTTGGCATGCATCTTATATATGAGACTTTTTCCCACAACATTAATAAAATGTTACCTTATAAATTTTAAAAACAACTTTAACATTATAGCTGTACGCCTGAGTAGCACTTTATTTGTTTCATTTTCTTGAAATTCAAGTACCAACTCTTTTTACAGGCGAAGAGGTTCTATGAATCTGCACTAAGGCTGGAACCTGGTTATCTTGGAGCAGCGCTAGCCTTGGCAGAATTGCATGTCATTGAAGGTCGAAATGGAGATGCTGTTTCTCTCCTTGAGCGATATCTCAAGGATTGGGCTGATGACTCGTTACATGTTAAGCTTGCCCAAGTGTTTGCTGCTACAAATATGCTGCAAGATGCCTTGTCACACTATCAGGCAGCACTGAGGTTGTACCTTCTCTTTGAATGCTATTGCAATCTTTTCCTGCCCAATTTTAAGGAATTAGAAGTGTCGGATAATCAATCTCACAAAATCAGCCCTTTATCTAATCTATTATGCTTTAAATCAGAGAAAGTAAAAAAAAAATGGAGCAGTTTGCATGAAAATAGCATAATTCTTGATACTTACACCAATGCTCTGCCTGTCAGGATAAATCCTCAAAATGAAGCTGCAAAGAAAGGATTGGATCGCCTGGAGAAGCAACTCAAGGTTCTGTTTCCTGTTCAACGTGAAAGCAATCTCTAAATATGCTTGTTTAAAATCTAATCATGCAACATAGTTTCTCTGCTAAATATTGTAGCTAGTTGTTCTTGAACTTCTCTATTCATGTATACATTGGAAAATTGACTGTGGGACACCAAATTCACTTGGCTGTACCTCTGGTTTACATTGCTTTGCTCCTGTTGTCATGCATACATTGAGTTTTGTAACTTGAATGAACTTACACCAGCACTTCATTTGACAGTTTTTTTGTTCCCACTGTTTTCTTAAATGAACCTATCCATTTTTGGCAGGGAGTAGACCCTGATGCTCCAGAAGAAGACGAGGAGAATGATGTCGAGGATGCTGATGCAGACCAGGAAGAAGCCGAGCTCTTATGATGTGGAATGAAAACAACACATCTTAAGATCTTCTCCTGTTCTGCTGCATGCACTTATATGAGAATTTGATTCAGTAGGCAGACATCTGATATAAAAGCAGCAGAAATCGTTTTCACCAGGAGTAGATTCTTTGTTGCCTTATAAATAAGGTGCTTGTTGCGGCTGCCTCGTGCTTTATGCTGGAAATTCTTTGCCATCAGACTTCCAGCATGATAGGCCCCTGTTCCTTTCAGAGTATAATATGGCTCCCCCACATGTTGTAATTTATTGTAGTCTCTTTTCCTGTCAATGTAAATTTACAACTGTACCAAAAATTTTGAACAAATTGATTGACATAAAACTTAGCTTACATGAGCTTTGGAAAGCATATTTGCTCCCATCCTCAAATAAATGAGGAAGGTTGTATTAGATTAACTGCAAACGAAAGATGGTTATATTATGATGATATGAGTTGAATCAGGCAATTTTATTTAGTACTAGCTGATATCAACTAATTTGTGATTGCGAGTTGATCTAGAAACATTATCTGTTTGTGTAAAATGTAGATGCAGTTCACCTAGTAATAAGTAAAGACTTATAGAAGAGTGATTTACAATTCCCTCATAAAGGTCATTTTCAATCACATTACATTCCTTTATTGGTTTTAATTTGTCATTCTATTGATTAACATCCACTACACCAAAAATGATCTATAACAACAACTTCATTGCCGCTAAATATGTATTTTTAGCAAGCAATTAGCACTTTTTGTAAATATACTAAAGACTATAGCGACATTGAATTAAATGATAATTAACTAATGCCGATAAAGACTTTACCATTTTTTAATGTAGACATTTATTGCTGCTAAAAGTTGTTTGTGTTGTTGTATAGTTCAATTTTAGTTATTCAGTCGCCTTACACACTCAATGCATAATTTCATATTGACGCCCCACTATCGAAGAATGTTGCATCAAGTTTTGACAGACAAATAGACATGCCTCCTCATTAGGCATTGCTGAGTTCGACAGTTGGAATTAGTAATCTCCATTCCTTCTGGGGTTGCTGAGTCAGAAGTCTTATTATGTTATATGTAGTTGAAGGGTAGGTCTAGATCCTCTCTTGACCATATGTTAGAACTTAGAAGTAATGTTCCTAAAGGCTTGTAAATTTATGTTGTACGTCTAGTGAGTAAGGTGTGGCCTTGCCAATCTTGCGATTGATTGATGTCTTAGATGATGACCTTAATGTTGGCTCCTTTGTATGTATATATATAGTTTGAGTTGTTTGCATGTACAAGTTTTTATATGACTTGGCCTTGTCGGTCCATGTGTTTAGTAGAGCTGAGGTTGAATGGTTTATGTGGTTTGCTCGGTCAAGTGAGACACCGAGTGCTAGTCTCACCTCCCTAGATTTGAGGCGTGATACAAAACCTTTTTTTGTTTTGTTTCCCATCCAATGTTCCGAGCTCACATTGGAGCTGCGATTAAATCCGGATCGCGCACTGTAGGGCCCATTCGGGGGTGACGCTCCCAACAAGATTTTCTCCATACCCAAGACCTCTGGTTAAGAGTGAAACACTTCAACCAGTGCACCACAACCCATGTTGGTTGACACAATATCTTAAGATTCATCATTATTCCCAATAATTCTTTGTGGCCAAATTGTAATTTATTTTTTGTATGTGTCGAGATTTATTTATTTTGGGATATCTATGATAGATTTAAGAAGATAAAGTGAAAGAAATTTGATCACCAAAAGAAATAAATTCAAATTAATCATTGAATTAAATAAGGCAAATAATTCATATGTGAAAAAGGATTAAATATATTCCAAAACTTTGCGAGAAGAATCAAATATATCCCTACTACATGACTTTTATTTAAATTTAAATCAATTTTTTCACCTCACAAGTCGAATTGAAAGAGGTATGTCTGAACCATTTGTATCACGACAAAAATATAATTATGTCACTTTTTAATATGGAGGATATATTTGCTCTAAATTATATAGTACCAGGGATATTTGTACCTTTTCCCATTTCAAAGTTGTGAATTCAAAATCCAACTTAGAATTGTGTTGTTGTTTTATACGTATCTATTCAAATGGTAGTTCTGTTGAACTATCGGATTAAGCTAATGACTTAACCCAACAAGTACTGGAATAGTAGTGACTGACTCTTTAGGTTCACAATTTTTCTGCAAACATTCGCTCGTAGACTTGATATGGAAATATTACAATACAATAGAAATTGCAGCTAATGTACAACATTGTAGTTGATATTCTAACAAAATTTGAACTTTGCCAGGTGAACTACTTTGCAGGCTTAAGCAATCTGGATAGTTGGTGTTTGATTCTTCCTAAAACGAGTCAATGACAATTCAAGTCTAACATATATGTACATAATCTTGTCGCAACTAATATACAAAATGTCATGCTATATATTCTAAACGTGGAAAGGTTTCCGAGGTGTTGGAGATCGATTCTCCAGTGATTGCAATCTTTGTTTTAAATGGAAAACTTCAACCTGCAAAACCAAAGGATATTCCCTGAATAAGTACAATGCCAAGGTCTGAAAAGCAACCTCGTGGAGCAATACAAAGAACCATAAAAACAATTAAACCTCTTATGATGTGTATTCGTGCAAGTTACATAATCATAAGAGAGCTAATAAATTTCTATCAAAGATGGTCAAGTGGCCAAAATGTGCATTAAGCAATTATATATTTCGATAATTGTATAACTTTTGAGTGGTATCCTAAGCATCTGTTGATCTCATCAGGTTCTTCCCCATACGGTTTTTCCCTTACCCAAGCATCCCATCCCAACCCCAGAATAAGAATTAAAAGATGAATAATGTAAAATAATATGTTGCTTATGATTTCCTTTATCATTCTTATGATTATGATCATACCTGCAACTGGAAAGCTCTTGCCCTTTCTCCAGCAAGGACTCCTCTTGTTGTATGCAGTTCCTGCATTGGATATTGTAGACATAAACTTAATAAGAGTGGGCTGAAAAGTTGGCTCGGACATTTTAGGAATAGATAAAACAATAAAACCTCTCTTTACCTTCTGTGTATCATCCATAACTGCCTTGAGGAAAGCCACGTCATGCTCAAGCCTGACATTATCAGAGTGGACAATGTTGGATAAACTGTTAGCCTCTTCCTGGGCCATTTCGACACTAGCTAGCTTTTCTTTAAGCAACTCCATCTCCTTTACAGCATCAGCCATCTTTTTCTCCATGTCCTGTTTACTCTTCACTGCTGCTTCACGGCCAGCCAATGCAGTTGTCAGCTGTCCTTCTAGAATTCCATTCTTTCTCATTAAGGAAGATAGTTTTGCTTCATACTGCTGACAAGCACCTGATGAAGCTGGCAATCCAGCTTTATAATCACCTTCTTGGAAGACAAAATCATCAGTGTCTTGAAAAAAGTTTGCACTTGCTTGTCTGTAATGAGTAGGCAAATGTCCAGATTCAGAGATAGTAGACATCTCCTCAGACATAATTTTACCTCCATTGCTGCTTGTTTTGGGTCCTATGTCTAGTTGTTTTGCTCCTTGTTCCTTAGAATGAAGATGAATGAAACATCAGTTTGACTAGAAAAACAAATAAACTTCAGAACATACAATCACTTAATTGTAAATTAAAATCAATCTAATTGTTGTATCTTCGAGCCCAGTATATAAAGAAATCACTAGCAGCAAAAACAGCAACAATTAAATAGAAAAAAACAAGCTATAAAAACCTCCGGAATAAAACACACCTAACACATGAAATTACAATGTTCAACAGACAACATATAGCCATCAAGAAAGAACTAGAATCTTCAAGAACTTCAAACCAAATTAATCAAAGGACAGCCCGGTGCTCGAATCACGTGTTCACGCATGGTCCAGGGAAGGCCACACTTCAAGGGAGTGTAAATTGTAATGGAGGCAGCCTACCTTAACACAAGCATCAGTGGCTAATTCCACGGCTCGAACCCCTAACCTATTGATCCTATTCCAAATTCTGTTCCTATCTAATTCAACCAACATATTATCTTAATCTTAACCCGTATGCTATTTCATAACCCCGTCCATCAAAAATGCAAATTCAAAACTTCGTTTGATAGGTCATATGTACTCATCCATCTACTCAGGGACCTGAGATTGTGAAGAGTGAAATACTAGAATAGTTGCTATAGTTTACCTGTGAAGGACTTTCATCTCCTGAGGTCTTGGTCATCTTTGCACTGGCGTCTTCATCATTGGAAAATTGCTTGCGAAGTGAGACATTACCAGACACAGAACTAGGATCAATGAGTAAAGACTCTGACAATGATTTTCTACCAGAGCCATGATGCTCAACCGCAGAGGCTAGATTCTGTCTCGCTATGGAATCCACATGAGAGGTAGTAGTACCATTAACTGGCTGAGAAGCAGGCCCAGTGGATGTCAAACGATTCCCAGATAGCAAGTTCCCAGCAGCTTTACTTAAGCTTGATCTGCGGCCCATTGACAATTCATTTTTTTCCATAATAAGTACCTCAACCTGTAAAAGAAAGATGAAATGAGGCAAAGCAAATACTTTGTACATGAGAATTTGACTTTAAGAAGACAATATGTCAGCGCTAGCTAATAGATGATTATATAGCAAAAGTTCTGGTTTTCATGTTACCTCATTTGATGGATCTTTCTTGAAACCACCAAAACCCACAAGAAAATCCCTTTCCTTATGCTGCACAAGGACGAGGCTGAATCCCTGGCATTCATTAAAATGTTGAAAAATACTACATGATCCACTAAATTGTCAACTTTATGTGATGCAATCTAGAGCAAGAGCATGTAATTTTGTTGAAGTACAGGTTCAAACATCAGATCATAGGTGCACTTTATAATAGACCACACGACTAAGTCCTTAACAACCCTTTTGCTTTAGAGAAATTTTTCATAAACAATAAAAATTGACGCTTAGATTAAAATATTTATTTTTACTTTTGAAAGCTAACTGTTTATTTTTGCCATAAAATAATTTAACAAAAACCAAAATATTCAACTATCTTTTTCAAACACTAACCCTAAGTTCAATACTTCTTTTTGATCACCAAAATCCCCAATGGCCGGCCACATGGTTTGAAACTCGGTGGATAATGTCCCCCATTCTTCTCCACTTAATTACCAGCTTTTCTCTACAGTGTGGTTGAAACCCATGATATGCACCTATAACCCACACATCATGCATTGACTTTTACAACTAGACCAAAGCCTTGGGGGCAAGTCCAAACACAACAACAACATATCCAATGAAATCCCACAAGTGGGGTATGGGGTAGAATGTACGCAGACCTTACCACTACCTCGTGGAGGTAGAGAGGCTGTTTCCGAAATAGGTCCAATTCCATTCATAAAGTTGAATGGAATTGTATTGCATCTTTTTATTATTGGTGTAAAAAGATAGAAATAGATGAATTAGAACTACTAGATTTGTTGGGATCTCTGTAAGTAGCTTCCTCCATTCTCTTTTTGCTTCTTTTTGAAGGTCTCCAGCATATCCTTAATGCCGAGGAATACAACATTACCAATTTCAATATAAAAAAAAGGGGAAGAGGCATTCTTTTTGATACGAACTAAAAAGGAAAGAGGCATTCTTTTTGATACGAACTAAAAAGGAAAGTAGGACAAACAAATTGAAATAAAGGGAGTAATATTTAACATAAATTATAATAGTCATACTTTCACATGCAAAACAAAGCATGGCAAATCTTTGCTAGGTCTGGACCATATCAGATACTGGAGAATAAAAAATTTGAGTTGACTGACGTAAAAATTCAAAGATAGCACCAGCACAAGAGCATATACTGTGAGTTGACTCACACAAAAGTCGATTGACATAATGTCAAAAGGCAGAAGCATGTATCATAATTGTGAGAAAGTGAAAAGAAAAACTGAACTGAACCTTGTTGGTTGTGATAGAAGAAGCTGGTGAAGCAACAGCAACAGACCATTCAAGTTTTAGAACATCAAATATTAAAGTCTCAGCATGTCCTGAAGGAAAAAAGTATGGTTAAGTACTAAGAATGGAAACAAAGGGAAGAAGGAGAAGAATAAATTCAAAAATCAGAAAGCTTAAGTAGCAAATAGGTTCCTATTAAATGCATTTCTTTGTTGAGTTGTGTATCGATGATGATGAAGTAGAAGGCTGCAGTTATTAGCTATTTAGACATACTTCTTTTCCTGCTACCACCCCCAGCAATATACCATTTAGTTCCACAAAGCACTCCACAACAACCAGCTCTAGGTGAAGGATGGAATCCACGTATTTTAATTCTTGACCATGCCATCTGAGGTGAACATGAACATCTGGCATTAGAATGTTGCATATAGAAGAAATTTGCATTCATTCGGGGAAAGGAGAGCTTAAGATTTTATTCCACAAACCGTCTCGAAGTCAAGCGTGTACAAGTCATTTAACGTCCTGGACTTTGATGATCCACCAAAAATCAGGAGTAATTTATCATCATAGAGGGCAGACACATGGTTTGATCTTGGTGAAGGACCTGTTCCCCTGCATGCATGTGCTACTAATCAAGAAACAAACCTGATAATGCCACCATCGGGTAAAGTTAATGGCCCAAGGAGCAGGAACATTAGCAATCATATAAATGATATATCCTTTAGCAACTCACGTGCAATGAAGTGGCAGCCATGTCAAGGATTTAAGATCAAACATATGCAGATCGTTTAGCTTCCTCCTCTTTACGTCTTCACCCCCAAATAAAATCAAAACTGAGCTTGCTCTAAGGACAGTATGACCACTACGCGCAACCTGTCGATTGAATTGGCGAGTTAAAAAGAAAGCAAAAAAATTGACGAATAGCACCGAAGGTATCAGACATCATGCTGAAGTTAAGTCTTTAATACTTTCCTTCTGTTTCCCTTTTATCAAAAAGAATAAGATAATACCTCATGTAAAGGAGAAAGTTTATAGAAGTTTACTTCACCAAACTTAGTGAGACGTGGTGCAGAAAACAAGATATTAACTACTCCCTCTGTCCCAATTTATGTGACTTACTTTCCTTTTAAGTCGGTCCCAAAAAGAATGAGATTACCCTCAATGAAATGATTTACGGCCACACAAATTTCTATCATTCATTTTGGACCACAAGTTTTAAAAGTCTTCATTTCTTTCTTAAACTCCGTGCCGAGTCAAACTACCTCACATAAAATGGGACGAAGAGAGTATTACTTTTTCGATAATAGATACACTCGAGTCTACTTTATATCGTGTTAAACTGAGCGATCACTTCTATGAAGTGAATACCACAAAGGCAGAAAAGGGTATGCACAATCAGATTGCACAGGAGGACTAGAAGCTTTTACCGGAACGTCTCCCTTTGCTTCCAGAAGTGACCAGCATTCAGTTTCAGTGTCAAACGCCCAGACTGCAACAGACAATTTAGGAAGAAGTATATAGTGGAAAGCACAGTTGGACTAGATATAAATACAGTAAAATTAGCAGAAAGTTAACCTGAGACTTTTTCACTTGAAGGGTCTGTTTTCCCTCCAACCATAAGAATCTTTTTACCCCATTGAACCTGGGAAGTAACAGATAAATTTTCTGATGAATAGTACTCCAACACGACACACTTAACACCACAAAAGGATACGCTAATCAGATTAACAAATTGGATTAACAGCATTGCTACCATAGAAGTACCACAAGTAGTAGACTTGTACAAAAACATTTATTTCTCTTCTTCATCTGAAATCAAGTACTGATAACAAATATCCTTGTGATTGGGAGTTAGAATGTTCAGGTAATATTCATGTAGATGTTCTCCAAACATTCAGTACAGTCCCTTCTTTCCATTTTGTTTGCTCTTCCAGCTATTTTAATCCGTTCCAGAAAAAATAATTTCTTTCCTTAAATAGAAAGTCAACAATTTACACACCCTCCACATCTTCCAATTGTAACAATTATTTTTTTCAAAAAGGGGTTTCCCAGCCAACTTAGGCTCCACAACTAAACTATCAGGCAGTCTTATTGATTTTTTAGAAGACGGTACAACTCAGTTGGTTGACTACCTGGATGTTCATCTTATTGGCAAGGATTCTATTCCCTGCACTGTAATTCCCTCTCCCCTCCCCAACCCCCAATTTTGTACTTTTTTCTAAAAAATTGTCTCACAGTTTAGTTAAGCATAGGATTCTCAATTTTATAAGCATAGGAGAACTTTAAACAGCCAACTTCAAATTCACAGTTGAACCTTCATGGGAAATCATAGATTCCTGACAGGAAAGAAAAAGCTCAAAAACATAATCTACAAAAAATCTGCATCAAAAAAATTTAAAAAGCTAAAATATCTCAAAAAACTAAAACAACCTAATAGATTACCCTATAACTAAGCAACTTATTATGCTAGAAAAATCACTTCAGTAACTGAAAACAAATTTTAACACTCCTCCTATGAAGCAATCTAAAAAAATTGTTCCTCAATTTCTGTTTCTACTATTTGTGCTTGAGGATTGTTTTTAAACTTGCACACTTTTGTAACATGGCTTATTTGTTTGCAATTTTCACATATTGCATCAGGTCTCCACCAACAAAAAATTTCCAAGTGTATTTTCTTCTTGACATACTTGCAAGGAGGATAATTAACTTTTTCTTTCTGGTTTGTGCATAAAAAGCACCCTCAATAATATTGTCTTGTGCTTGAAGAACACTAATTTTTTTTTTGAAACTTGGTAACTTTGCTTGAAGAACACTAATTAATTATGCAACAAAGAGGTAGATATCCTTAGACTCTTCTAAGGAGGAAATTTTAGACTTGAATCTCTTTGGAATTGTAAGAATTTTTATGGATGTTATGGATGCTTCCTCTAGTACTTGTTATATTTCTTTTTTTCTGTATGTTCTTTGATATGCGTAACCTGAGCCAGGAATCTTTTGGAAACAGTCTCTCTACCTCCCGGGGGTAGGGCAAGGGCTGCATACATTTTACCCTCTCTAGACCCCACCTTATGGAATTACACCGGGTATGTTGTTGTTGTTGTTGTTGTTCTACCTCAAACTCACGCATAATAACCTATCCAGACTTTCTGCTGTTAATCTCGGTGACACATCAACCAATATCAACTAAAATAGGATAGAGGAAATATCGTACAGAAACATTTTTGGGAAAGTGACCTTCAGTTTTTCTACCTTTTGTGGAATTCAAAGATAAATAACATCTTCAGGTAGGAAGCTTTTCAAATTTCTTTAAATGGATGTTAGCTAGGTCATTGCATGTTTCAATTAGCAGGCTCTCAAAATCTACAAACTTTTACTTGAAAGAGACAAATCACCAAGACATGGTGCATCTCTATATCCATAACAGTATCTTGACAAGTAAAATCCAAAAGTAAAGCAACAAAGTATACTAGAAAAATTAGAGTAAAGGTTACCAAAGCATGACCCTTGCATGCTGGGATCTTTAGAGGAAGACTGGTGGGCGAGAGGTAGAGCTTTGATGAAGCTGTTGTCCAGGAAAAGCTATCAAAATTTAGCACCTGAAATGAAAATGAACGCATGCCACTGGTATCAAGTATGCCACCTACAAAGCAATTTCCTCGACACTAATGATTGAAACTCGTCTCAGTTACTATCTAATCATTTCCCATTTTTCAAAGATCAACACAACTGCAGATTGGAGCGTTGATAACAGATCTAAAAGAGATGACAAACAGGGGAGATAGTTTAGTCCAGCATATCTTCTCGAAGTTGGATAAACAAGGCATAACTAATTTTAGAATTAGACCTAGATCAGATACTTTTTTTTTTGATAAGATAAGTGGTATTAATAACAGCATCAAGAAGATGCTAAATTTACGAGATATGGCATTTGAGCTTACAAAAAAATCTTTGGCTAACTATACAAACTATCTAAGCCAGAGCTAATGAGTTAGTAAATAGATCAGATACTTTACTTGGAAAGATTTTGTAAACTGATTGTATAGCTCAACTGGTAAGTGGTAACAAAGCTCACACTAACTCTTTGCATATTTTTCTTTACAAAGTGCCCTGACAAGAGTCAGCTCCTCTCCTTTTGTGTCTACATTAAGGTCGGGCCTAGTCCCCCTCTATGTAACAGTCTCTTCTTTATAAGATATACCCAATGCTAGGCAATTGGCCATTGGGTCCTTTGGAGGAACAAAAGTACAACTGCAGAAATTCTCTTGTGACTTAAAAGGTCAGAAGAAAAGAAAAGGTTTCATGGTTCTGAAAATCCCTCCACAAACCAAGATGAAGAAGCTTCTTACTGTTGGGCACAGACATTTAAATCATATTTCTGTCTATTCACGTGTTTATTCTACACACGCCATCCATGTACATCTGTTTCCTTTAGAATCTAACTGCTAAAATCAGCAAATCACCTTTAATATTATAATTTCTTCTTACTTATCAAATGTTTGATGTTAATCTTTGGTGATACTCCCTCCGTCCCTATTTAGTTGTCCACTTTAGAAATGACACACAGATTAAGGCAACAATAATTAGATTAAGGCAACAATAATTAGCATAGTGAAGTTACAATTTTATCCTTATAATACAATTTACAATTCCAAAATAAATTCACTCAAGATAACTAATCAATGCTAGGAAGTTCATAAGTTTATTACTTTATTTATGACAACTTTATTTAAATAAGGGTATAATAGGAAAAAAATTGTTGTCCTTTCTTGATTTGTCAAAATGGACAACTAAATAGGGACAACTAAAAGAGGAAATATGGACAACTAAATAGGGACGGAGGGAGTAATTATCCTTCGCATTCCACAGTGAAATCAAACACTATCCCATTTGAAGCGCAAAAAAGATCAATATTTCTGTTTATATATTAAGGCAGGAGTCATCAAACATGAGATAATGTTACTTAAGGAACAATCACCAGTTTACCTGCACATCCTCTAACATACGGCTACCAGTTTCTCCACCGACAACCACCATCTTGTTCCCAACAACAGCTGCTGCATGCTACTCAGTAAAAGCAAGATGTTAAGTTTTTAAAGCATCACAAATTTAATAACATGTGATATCTTTGAACAGTAGTCAGTTACATTGAAGCGAGGTGTAGGTTTCTCTCCAGCTATAGAAAGAAGCATCCAATTTTCTGAGCCACCTGAAGCACAATCGTTAAACTCAGGTGCACCTGATGAGCATTGGCAGCTCTTTTCTTCAGAATCATTATTACTGGGAGGAACAGCTTCACCCTGTGATGCAGAAAGAGCTTAAACTTTATGCTTCTTGTATGCAACACAAGGAAAAGTTGCAATAGAGGTCTTACACTGGAATTGCTAGAACGCTTGGGGTGCCTCATAGGACTTCTAGTTCCTTGAGCTGAGTTCAATCTGAGTAAATAGTGATGAGCTCAGACTGATATAAATAGCATATGGTTCAGAAGACCTAGCTATAGTGAGGAAATCCATATCCTTAGCAAATGCACGTGAGAGATCAAAAAGCCATGAGTATCAAATATCAATAGAAGGATTTTAGCAACTTAGGTAAGCAAGGACTTCATATCACTGTTTATATAAGGTATATAAGGCATGCCAAAAATTGTACTAGCGATCGCAATTGCATCTTTCACATGAGGATCTGAAATGGGAGTGCAATTGATTCAGGGGATTCATCTTATACAACCCTAACTAGTTTGGGATTAAGGCGTAATGATTAATTGAGTGAAATTGCATCTTACACATGGAAAGGATTGCAAGGAAAGCAAAGCCATATCTGACATAAGGGAAAATCTTTCAGTAATGCTCTCTTACCTAACGTAAAGTCAGTTTCCCCTTCCACAAGTGCTCCATGGATAGAGATAATAAAACTTTACTAATGAGTCAAATACAAGCCAATGAGCAAAGTTGTAGCTCACCAATGTCAATTGCAATAATGCATTTAGTACCTGACCTCTTACAAATGCAATTTATAGTTTTTGAAGAGGGGCAAAAGCTATACCTCCTAGAAAAGGCATGAGGGAAAGGCAACATCCAGTTGCTAAATTCTAATGTTTAATAAAGAACCTAATTGAGACTCCAAAACAGTAGAGCTCTGCTATATGTCTCCAAACTCCACAACTTTGAGGAGAAAATCCTAAGTTCTTCTGCCATTAGCAACCAAATCTAGCAAAGAAGAATACTTCTGTCTAGACCATAGTGAATTTGCCAGTAACAGCAACCCAGTTAAATGGTTAAATGACAACATGATTAGGTCTTGGAACCAAATTGACTAATTTAGCATGTTGTCATGTTGATAGTTTCTTAAACTAAGATATACATACAAGAACTCTTTTTTGAAATGGAAATATGCACAATCTCCAGAGACATAACCAATAAGCTCCAGCTTCTCAATCCTAAACACTATAAAGCACAATCATTCATAGAAAACTAAGCACACCAGCACAACACATAAACATGGCTACTTATATGTAGTTTCTAGGCATGAATAAGTATGTCATTACCTCCCGAGTTTCATTCGCCTTTTCGAGAACCCAAACATCTCGTCAAGTAACATATACCGCAACACTCAAACCTTCAAAAAAACAGAAAACAAAGCCGCATTATCATCCAAAAACAACCACATCACATTTCCATCAAAGAAAAGCTCAGACTTCGTAATCGGAAACCCACTTACGAATTAGAGAAAAAACTAGGTTTTGCCAGTTCGCATTGAAGCACACTCTTGGATCATCATCCACACTGAAAGCGACAGAAAGTATCTCCAAAAACTTGATTAAACTTGGGAGTTTCTTCCTCCACAAATGTACATTGAACCTCACTCTATAGTTTTGTGATGATTTTTACAGTGAGCTGAAAATGACTGTAGGTATGTATAGATACAAAAATAGTGTATGTAAGGGTTATTATTGATATGACTGAGCAAAATGAGTTGAATTTGACTAATGAGAAGTGCGTATTTTAGCATATCTACTCCATAAACGTACATGTAATGGCAATGCGGTCGCGGATTGAGCTTAACCACAAAAATTTTAATCTGCTTTACATAGACCTGCTCCGTATGAATCTGCATCGCTTCGTATAGATCTGCTCCGCATGAATCCGCACCACTTCGTATAGATCTGCTCCGCATGAATCCGCACCACTTCGTATAGACCTGCTCCCATGAACCCGCATCACATAATTTTTAATATTTTATTTTTCTAGTTAAGTTTGATACTAAAAATAAAATTCATAAAAATAAGTTCATTTTTTCATTAAGTTATATTAATTTAATAGATCTTTTAATTTTTAGAGGTTAATTGGAAAAAAACATGTAAGAAATTAATTATTTTTTATTAAACCATTTTCATTTACTATCTTACATATTTTAGTAGCTTTAAAGAAATTATTTTAATAAATAATGTTCTATCACTTTTATAACATGTAAAAAGTTAAAATAAAATTTAAACCGATATAAAATCACATATTCCCACAATTCGTCATACCCCAAATTAGTTTTTAAACAAACACACTCCAATCCCTCCCACCCTGCACAACTTTAAACCCGGGGCCCAGCCCTATTACCATCCTACATGTACGCAAATAAAAAAAAAATTACTGAGAGAGATGGAGTGAAAATGACTGAGGAGAAATGAGGTGCGCATTTTAGCATTTCGTTTGTTTTTTGTGTAATTATGTCATTACGTAAAGCATTGGGGGGGTGTGGATGCTAAGATGCGCTGTGGGTGTTTGTTTGTATGTGGTTTTTGGGTAAGAGTGAGTCGAGGAGCATTTATTGCGAAGTGGGTCCATTGGGCCCACTATTGTTGTTGGAACTTGTGGAAAGGGAAAGTTTTCGAATCCTTCTCAACTTTATGCTAATGTCAGAAACCATATTATTTTAGTTGGGCTGAATATTGTGGCCCAGCCCAGTATAATGAGTTTTCGAATCAATGGAACTTGGATGAGTATTTTCTCATGTTTGGGCCTTACTTAATGACCACGCTTGACCTATTATTTACCAAAGGATAGAAAACATATATATATGAAAAAATTACATAAATATACAACTTAAGATATCATAATTTTTAAAATTTAAAAATATAACAAAACTCTCTCTCAAATACGAATTATGCCCTCTCGGATACATTTCTATCACCTCTCGAATCCATCTCTATCTCCTCTCAGATACATTCCTCCCATTCAGTAATATAACATTTTTACAATGTATCAGACCGCCAAAAAATGTACCCGAGAACAATGAAAAAATATTTAGAATCTTTGTAATTGAAAAAACTTTCGAGATAGAATGTAATTAGCCCACAAATTTATGTACTCTATACCATAAATATACCGCACCGTGTAAGAGTCAATATGATAAGTTGTTTTAAGTTTGGGGTATTATAGTAATTTAACATTCAAGTTAGGGAGTTCATGCTTTTAAGATAGTAAAGAATATATATATAATGCTTTTTAATCTTGTGGTCTTAAACATGTCCGGTGAAAGTTAAATTTAAGAATTGACAAAAAAAAAAAAAAAACATTATTTAATGTTTGGAAATGAACTAAAAGAAAGACACAATATAGTTTTTTGTTAATTTTTTCATAATAATTCTATTATTACTTTTAAAAAAATGAATCCCTCAAATTTGATAAGACGGATACCTCATTTTTAAAGTCATTAAGCCACTCCTGCCATACTTTTTGTGCAATCGTGTGTAGAGTGAGGCCTTTTCGGAGAGTCGGGGTGAGCTGTGTGATGGGTCCGCAACATTTTGTGAACCTATCTTTTATCTTTACTTTTTTTTGTCTAATTCCATTAAGACAGAGTATTTTTTTGAGACATCTGTGTTATTTCTTCATTTAGATGTTCTTGACTCATATAGCCGGTTCAATGTATTTCCACACTCATAACATTCGGTTTATGCTATATCATGAATTTAATTTCTATTGATCCAGTGTTTTAATTTATTACTATTTTTAATGATGAAAAATGTTTTATATGAATTAGTTTGCCTGGCTAGTTTGGATGCAATAGTTATCGCGACCTAAGTAAATTGGTTCGTGATAATCTAGGTGAGAGCATCAATTTGCATGAACTATAGCAGGAAAAGGAAAGATGGAATATAATCTAATTCATATAAATTTCATTCTCTATATGGAGCACATAACATCATTATATCGATGCAATTGTCACAAGGAGGAAAGTGACATAAAATATATTCGAATTTTGACCGAAATTGTTGTAACAATACCAAACTTGAAAAAGACCTTTTACCTCCCTACACTATTTAATAGTGTATTTTAAAGATATATATGTGTCCACGTGGACATCATAAATATTGCATCATCATAAATAGTAATGTGTCTACGTGAGCACACATATATCTTTAAAATACACTATTAAATAGTGCAGGGGTAAAAGGTCTTCCATAAAGTTTGGTATCGTAACAACAATTTCGGCCAAAGTTGAAGTATTTTTCAGTCTCTTTTCCCTATAAATTACTAAGTTGTCACTATACCTTTGCCAGTGATTAATTTTCATGGATATAATCAAAAATATTTTTATTATTTGGTTGACCTAATGATTTTCTATGATTCTATATGTTAATGTTGTATCATTCTAGACGTTAATATTTTGTATGGTAATAGCTTGCATGCATGCAACCATTCACACAACACATGTTAGATGCTCTTTTATCATAGTAGAGCTATTATTGGTGGCAAATAATATGTACTTCCCTTTAATTTAGATTCTGCAATTTTGCATGAACAAGCTAAGGTTTATTATTGCTCAATTTTATTTGAACTCGATTGATTATTTCATGTATAACTATGAATTTAAATTGTAAACCTTGACAATATAAATAATTTTTACGTCATTTTTAAATTAATGAGCGCAAAAGAAAACAAAAAAAAAATCATCAATGTACAAATATATGAAATGAGACAAATCAAACAACAACTGAATTCAAAATTAATTAGACAGAAAAAAAGTAGAAGCCACTATTTTATATATTCGCTAAAAAAGATCACAGCTTACAATACAAAAAAAGAAAAGAGAAGCTGGGGTTACTAGAAGTGAACACATTAATTATTTATAAGTACACCATATTTATATAAAATAAAATATTTAGTTAGCTCATGAAGAAATCACTAGGCTACTACTCACTCTTTATACATAATAATTACATACACATGCTTTTTTTTATATGCTAAAAGTAACTTATTAATGTTCACCTCTAGCTTATATTATTATTCTTCCACGCTAGCTCATCGCGTTATTATTATTATTATTGTTATTGTAGTTGAATATATATAGTAATTAAACCCATAGAGCTCCCGCCCTTTTAAGCATTGGCTTTAAGGAGCGTTGAAGATGAAGACTCATGACTTCATTTTCACCGCCAACGAGTTCACCACCGATGAACACTGCTGGAACTGTAGGATTACAGCCGAGCCTAGAGAGGGCAGCTTCGATCTCTCGGCCTCTCTGCATCTCATCAAGCTCATGAACTGATGGATGTACGCCGAGATCACAGAAGAGAGATTTAATGGTGTGGCTCATGCAACAAGAATTCTTGCTGAAGATCACCACAGGCTTTTCAGCAACCATTCTGCTTACTCTCTCCATATTTGATGAGTAATTGCAAGAATATTATAATGTAGTGGAAAGTTAAAAGATAGTGGATATTGTTGTTCGAGGTTTAGTAGTGATGACTTGTGGTTTATGTGTAGGGACGTTAGTTGATGAGTTTTGAGGTGAGGCAAAACGAAGCACAAACAAGACATATTTATAGGTGGAATTGTGTAGATTTGGTGAGGATGTAAAGAGAATCCAAAATATGTAAGGTGATCGATCGATCCCATGTGTAGCTTAATTTGATTCTCAAACCAAGCAAAAAATGACAACTCCCAATTCATGTGTAGGCAAGACATTTGTCGATAAATGTTAAAGGTAACAAGGAAAAAAAAACACTATATATGTTTTCGAGAGTTAATTTGACTAATCATTTATATTTAAAAAGGGAAAACTGTATATAATAGCAAACTATTAATTCAAATTAAATGCTATAAATATAGTTTGATTTAATTGTACCTCATAGCAAACTGTTGCTATTTCACCTCTCTCCTGGTGAATCTCGCTCGCCACTCTCGTTCTCTCCCTCGCCTCTCTCGTTTTTTATACAAACGTGCGTTTGTGTTTGTATAAAACGAGAGAAAATTGTATATATACATATATTTTCGTTCCCCTCTCCCAGATCTCGCTCGCCACTCTCCCAGATCTCGCTCTCTCACTCACCTCTCTCACTTTATACAAAAAATGCAAATTGTATAAAATGTGTTTGTGTTTGTATAAAGCGAAAGAAAATTGTATATATACATATATTTTCGTTCCCCACTCCCAGATCTCGCTCGCCTCTCTCACTTTATATAATTGATCTTTTTGTATATGTATACCAAAACAGATTATACAATTGCTTTCTTTTGTATATGTATAGTGAAATATACATATTTATGTTTGTTATGGAGCGCAATTATGCAAACTTTGCTATAACATACAAATATGAATTTTGTGTTTGCTATATGTGAAAGTTGCTCATTTAAAAATAAACTTTTAGATATTCAAAAACTATATGGAAAGTATTATACATTGCAACTTTTTTCATATCATGATATGATGAAAAAATACATTTTAAAATGTTTAATCAAAATTATTATCATTTGACTCTAAAAAAATATACTATGACAACTAAAAAGGAACAAAGGGAGCAAAATATATTGATAATATATGATTTTAACAAATGACACTAATATTCATTCTTAAGGTTGACCTAATGATATATAAATTCCTTGTACTAATGGGGCATTTTTTTTTTTTTTGGTTTCCCATTCGGTGTCCGGAGCCCACATTGGAGCTCTGACTAAATTCGGATCGCGCTTTGCAGGGCCCATTCGGGGGTGGCGCTCCCAACAGGATTTTCTCCATATCCAGTGCTTGAACCCGAGACCTCTAGTTAAGGGTGAAGCACTCCCACCAGTGCACCACAACCCATTTTGATACTAATGGGTATGTATGTAACTCCCAGTTTTTTTGTTTTTTTTTTTATATAAAGTGACTTAGGAAAATGCGATATTGATTATTGTTAGATTAGGTCTTAGGCCTAACTCACACCCCAAAAGCTAGCTCAAAGGGAGGAGGATTGCCTAAGCCTTATAAGGAGTCCACCCATCTCATTAACCACTGATGTGGAACTTTTGTCATTCTTTAACAATTATAGCGCAAAACTTTTTATGCTTATAAATATATAATACTTTCTTTCTTTTCACTTTTATTTGTTCGTTATATTAAAAAAAAATCTTTATATTTTTCTCTCTAACATTAATTATTTATTTCAAAATTATTTCCTAAGACTTAAAATTATTCAATATTCGTATTAATTATTGTTTCTTAAAGAGCGTATAAAATTTAAAGTGAACGGAGAGAGTATTCTTTAACACGATTTCTTTTTCTTTCTAAAAAGAAGTATTGTTAATTATATATGTTTTTTTTTATCAAACGCTTATGAAAAAGAAAACCTTAGGTGACATCCTCATTCCATATATTTATCAAAGTAACTTTCAAACAATTGGCAAAGATATTTGGATAGGTTCCAAAATTTACATGAGATCACAAATTTGATAGTGATGTATACATATGTTGGCACTACATAAAAATAATAATAAAAATAAAATCATGTTACACGATAACGATTCTTTGCATACAGAAATAGAGACGTGTCAATGTTGTGCCTTTTTCTCTTTACTTGATACGATAAACCATTAATTTAATCACTTTACCCCTTTTTTCTAATTAATTATTCTTATTTAACAAAATATATAATTAGTAAATAAAACAATTGGTCGGTGCCCTATTAATACTATTTATAAAAAAAAAATTCCATTATCTTTTTGTAGTGGCACAGAAAGTGGATTTCATGAATATGTTTTTCTTTCCTTTTTAGGTATATTATTATGATTTTTGATTATGGGTTGTTTAGAAAGGGATTATTAGGGGAAGAATTAAGATAATGTTGTTTAAGTTTTTGATTAGTGTTTATGATGCATCTTTTTCTATGAAAGAATCTGCTGAGTTGGAGAGAGGAAGTTGGATTTATCCAATGGGAAACTTTTTTGTGGTCCGACAATAAAAGATACGCATCCAATTCACCAACAAATATTGCAAAAAAGCAAAAGGATAGAATTTTCGTAAATGACATTGATGACCACATACTTAAAAACTTTTTTTATTTATGTATATATATGATTTATGTGGTTGTGTCTAATTTATATAATATTGAAGTCAATGCCATCATCAAACGAGTCCTGAGTATGAATAAGATTCTTGGTAGGGAGCGTTTCCCTTCAAATGAGGTTTTACGTGGCACGAATCTAAAATAATCGAGCTCCAATACAGATATCGAACACTAGATGAGACATTAAAAAAAGTCAAATATGCATAATCATCAAGCTTGTACATTCTAATTACTCGCGTCGTTGTGCCTGGGCGGTGAGGGCTCTCAGCCACATGGATACGAGAAATAGATGCTCAGCCTGCAATGTCTGATAACGGTGTTGAAGTAGTGAATCTATCGGCACCATAGCAGTGGTATACAACTTTGAACCTAACGGCTGGCCTAGTAACCTTTCGAAATGGGAGATCCCCGTTGGCAGTTCTACGTGGCACAAATCCGAAATAATCAAACTCTAATATAGGGAAATAAAAAAGTCAATACCTAAACAAACATGCCTAACCATCAAGTTCGTACATTCCAATTAGAAAAATAAGCCATTCCTTCCCTGTGTTTTAATTTGTTTGACTTGATATGTAATTTAAGAAAATAATAAAGATTTTTGAATATTACTATTTTAAATTTTAGATATGTCAAATGTATCAAAATATCTATTAATCTAGTGATTTTAAACATGTCATATGGAAAATGAAATTAAGAAGTTGCTAAGAGAGGAAATAGTCAATCGTTTTCAAACTGACTAAAAAAAAAAGTAAATCAAATAAATTCAAACGGAGGGAATACTTTTTAGCTCTTAGTAAACTATATTAAGTAAATTATGGATTGCTTATTTCTTTTCTCTAATAAATGAAATGAAATTCAGTATCAATAAGGAAAAGGACCGTACATAACAATGAGACAAATTAAAGCCTTGAGGTCCAGGATATTATCTTCATGATTTCCTTTTCACACGTTGCTAATAGTTTAGCTGATTAATCCGACATTTCTGGCCCACCAAAGAGATCTATAAATGGTTTTAACTTTTAATTGTTGAATTAGTTGCTAATTTCCTATTTTTGTGCATATAATAATTTTAAAAAAAAACATGGAACGTTCACATTATTTAGGAACATATATAGAAACACAACTCGACACTAGCGAAATTTATTTAATAATTTGTCGATTATTCTTTTACTTGACATCCTGAAAAGTACAGTACAATATTTAATAATATTATTCTAATAATTTAATTGGCTAATTAGGGTTTTTCCTTAATACTACACAAGTAATTAAATATTTTATAACCAGACAAATATTTATCACTTATTTTAGAATTTAGATCAAAAGTTTTGAAAAAATAATTTCTTAAATTTCGTGTCAAGTCAAACTAACTCATATAAAATGAAACGGAGGCAGTAATAAAAAAAAGGCATTAATGAGGTTTGTGGATAACTTTATACGTACTAGCTAGCCAAGGTCATTACTTTTACTATTATTAACTACTTTATGAGATTTTCCAAGATCAAATACTTGTAAAGCTGTCTCTGGAGAAATCTCGACGTATAGTTCAAAAGTTGATTCACTTTTTGATCATGCATGCATATATAGGAATCTTGGACATGTTGATCATAAAACTTAAAAATAAAATGGTGTCCAGCTTGTTCATGTGATAGAATGGAATTTAAATTTGTTAGTGCTTTGATGATTTCATGTCCTATACAAGGGAAGGGACTGGTGACCAAAAGTTGTGCCCATAATTGGCTCTACCTGGATCCCAAAGGCCAGGGTTTAAGGTTACTTTTTTTTTTTTTTTGGTTTCCCATCCGGTCCGGAGTCCACATTGGAGCTCCGACTAAATTCGGATTGCACTCTGCAAGGCCCATTCGGGAGTGGCGCTCCCAACAGGATTTTCTCCATACCCAGGGATCGAACCCGAGACCTCTGGTTAAGGGTGAAACACTCTCATCAGTACACCACAACCATGTTGGTCAGATTTAAGGTTTAAGAGTACAGATTTAAAGTTATTCCCTCAAATTGATGAGTAGATCCATTGGGCTAATAATTCAACTTGTGACAGCTCAATTCTTTCACTAGTTATATATGTGATACGTAGTTGGGCTATTATATTATATTATATATATATATATATATATATATTCCTGATCTGAATAGCCTTGGACAAAGTAAAGCATATTGGGGAAGATCTTAAAATGTTTAGTGGATTATTGATTCGTTAAAAGATATATTAAGAATCTATTTGAACGTTTTGGGTGCCATATCGTTAGATTGATGGAACCTATTTTGACCTTGTAAATAGCATTTTTGGATCACTTTGATTTGGTTATTCATCCTTTTACTTTATGATGACAAATAGATCAAACAAGAAATATTATGATAATAACCTATAGTGCAAACAATTTTTTTTCCAACAATTATTATTCATTTTAATCCCATCTATCAAAGTAAGAGAAA